CACCAGGTAAATGTTTTGTCTGATATTCCTCGTGATATTGTTTTAAATTCTTTGTCCAGCCCTTGTTTACATGTTGCTATATGCTTCTGATCATATTTCTTACCTTCCACGTATTTAATGTGGATAGTTATGGTGTGATATTCAGTTTTCTAATTCAGTTCCTCACTCAAAATAGAATGTATCTGATTTACCAACTAGATATTAATTTTACATTTTCCGGTCTAGAAGCTTATTTCATATAAGTATACACAATCATTATTTATTAAAGAATAATTTTATTTGCATAAAAAGTGTATTAGTTCAGACTTATTCTAATTTTACAGTCTTCGTTCTATTTTAACTGCTTAGTTTGATTTTGTTTGTAAGTAATCGTCTAGTATGCGCTGTTTTGCAAGGAAAGTTATAGGAATTGTTAAGTATCGTACTTTGATCATATTTTTTTTGTCTTTTGCTTATCTTTATGTGCTTGCTTATCTATACGTTTGATGGTTTGCTTAGAGGGTTTTGAGAATGTATTATTCTCGTTATTGGTCCTGATGGTTTTTTTAATGACTATTATCCGAGTATGTACTTTAGTCCCGGTTGGGTCCACATATTGCTTAACTTGTGGTGGTATTTTTGCGTATTCATTTGTCTTTTTAATTTAGCGATCGGAAGTGTTTAATCTTTTGAAAGTCTGTTACTTTCACGTTTTGGAAGTGATTTGTTAGTTTTAATTTTTGGTATAGCATTATTCTTAGAGATCTTATCTTAGTGTTGTAGTAAGAGCAGCTTGTTTATGTTGTTTTCTGTAAGAACTACTAAACTCACTGTGCGACCATCACCCTTTATCCATAACCTATGTATCTACTGAATTGCACCCAAATGACTGTTGATTCTATCAGCTTTCATTTCCAGAGGTTCAGGAAGAAGCACGCTGTGACTCCTGTATCTTTCCTATCATCATCATCACATCCTATTGAAGAAGCGCTGTTAAGCTGCTCGACCGAAAAGATTTGCTTGGGCATACGGCGTGCGTCTTCGGATGTCGGCCTTTTGTCTTTTCATTCTTGTTGTCCAGAGTTCCAGAAGTAGGTATATCCCATTTGGTGTTTTCTAGTTCTTGTTCTAAGTATGTTCTGTCTACTCCATCCAACTGTTGAATTGCGCTAGGTTTTAATTTGATATTTAAAATATTCTTGAAAGCTCCGCTAACGAGTGAGATTTTTTTAAGAATTGTTGCTAACTGATAATCAGCCCTGTTCTGTATCATATTAAACGGCCACACGTTATGACAACTTAACAGTTAAGGATAACATTTTTGATAACGCAGCAACACAACCGAGGTGTGCCCTATCTCCGAGTTAACGTATGCGTTTCCGACCCAGTTATCCATCAAACGTTAAAACGGAAAAAATATTGGATGCATAAAGTGAGATGCCCTTATACAAATAGTCTATTAGTTAGAGAGAGAGTTAACATCAAACCATCGAAGCTTCTAAAACATATGCACCACATGTGCATGCTTTGACCATTTGGCCCACCTACTACCATACTTGTCTTTGTTTATAATTTGCATTCACTTTCAATTTCGTTCGTTACTGTTCTTGATCTATCTTCTCAAACGCTTTCAATGGAGCATGCACAGAAGAGGCAAAAAAACAACCCGCAAACAATTTGAAAATTTAGTAGTTTGTGGAGGAAAATAAAGTTTATTTTAAGACCATTTACCAATTGCTCTAATAAAGCTCCAAAAGACATTTTTTGTTTTAAATTAAAAACAAATTACAGCTAAAACACAAAACTACGCTCTGATTAAACACAATTGTTTTATTTATTCCTCCAAGGTAAACTTCGAGGGACGCACGTTAAGTTCGATAGCGGCATGTGATTTGATGCTGTTATTCTGAAGCGCTATTTCTTAATATAACGTTCGTCGATAGCGTGCGCCTGTTATAATATAACGGTTTGACTGATACAACACACCAGTTGGAGCCACATAACGGGTTTGACGGATAACATGCACGTTAAAGTTAATGTGAGTGATACAGCACAGGGCTGATTATAACAATACTAAAAGGTGAACCGAAGTATCAAGTGTGAAGATGAAAATTTATGTATTTTTGCCAACTTGGATTTTCTTTCTTCACCTTTTACCATTTATCAAAGACATCTGATGATTTCTATTTGCCTCAAAGAGTAAAAAGCCTACTTAAATACTACTTGATCAAAAATGTTAACTCGCAGTTCACTCGAACTTATCAATGCAGAGCAAAGAGAAGACGATTTGGAGGGCGAGATTTTACTATCTTACATCATCTTAATCGTTATCAAAAATGTCTTAATGTTTTAAATAAGCAGTATTTAGGTACAGTTTGAGATTTAATAGTTATATTATGGTCCTTTTGTATCTAAAGTTGAACTAAATTAGTTAATTAAATAGCACACTGCAAATAGAACAGTTTTGGACTGGACTGCCCTCACGTTTCGCTCACATCTGCGCTAAACATTATCGATGGAGATGAAGTATCGGTCGAGCTAGCTAGTGGTCGAAGTTTTCTGCGTATTGTTGCGTAGGGGAGATTCCGGTAAACCAAAACATTCGCCAATAGACGATGACGCGGGAGAGTTGGCCGCACTGTGGTCTATACACGCCGTAAAATTACCATTAGAGTTTGTGAACGAACTTTTTTGCACCACATCTGTGTCCTGTAGCGCTAGGTCTACCCCACCAGATCGGTGAATCTGTCTATCGGTAGGATCCATTCCGGAACCACTTGTTCAATAAAAGCCTAATTTCCCAACTAAATTTCTAAAAATAGGATAAAAATACTTGGGAATACCCTTGACCGACGCAGGTTTATGAATTAACTTATTCTGAACTTGTTTATTCAAGTTTCTTGAAGAGGAAAAAAGGGGTTGCTTTGTAACCGCAGAGCCTTGTACCTCCTTGGGCGTTTGCTGTCATCATTGGCAACAAAGCGTAGGAATAGGCAAAGGATTAGGATAATGGGAACTTAAGGTACCTAAAAAATACAACATAAACTAAACTTAATAATACGGACCAACGGGTCGTCAAAAAACAAAATTTAATACGTTCTCCTTTCCTTCAGGGAGGCCAGTTGGTTTAACTGTAACCAACAAGGAAAAATAAAAACGTGTTATTTAATTTAAATATCAAAATTACTCGTCCAGATTAATTAATTAATTAATTTAAAGTAAATTAGAATTTAATTGATTACGTATCGCGGCGGCCAAAGGGGGAATCACCTAGGAACGTACGGAAGGGTCCAGCGGGTACCAATAAACTCGCAATTCCAAGATCGGTTAAATAAAAATGGACTGACCCTTTGATAGTCTAGGCCAAGCACTATAATCTTAAATTAAAGTTTAGCTCACCGTGGTCTGATGTCCTGGCGCGCTCCCGAGATGACCGACGGTATCGCGAAGTAAACCTACAATCAACTAACCCCGGTCGGTAAAAATGGGGTTCCCGTGCAAAATGCGCGAGCTCCTGCTTTACACGCATATTTTGATCAGCCAAAGGGGTTCCCCAGTAATATGGGATTCCCCGGCAAGACAGTAATCTCTCTTCCACCTCCGCCGAGAAGCAATAGGCATGATGACAGATTTTGAAATACCTTTGTATAATGTAGGTGCACGTCTGCTATTGCCGAAAAAAATGTAATTTTCCCATTTAATTAAATTTTGACTGAAATTATCACATTTTTATCTTTCTAGTTTGTATTAAGCGCCAAAACGCTCGTTGGTGTTTGCAACGTCACTACCTCTAATAATTGGGTGTGTGCCTATACTTTATGGTTCTGGTTCTCTAATTCTGGTACTGATCCGGATCCCGAGTACTTACGGGTTCCGAATCTCATCTCACTTCAACTCTTCTCTCTTCATTTTAACATATATTTTCCTCTAAAACCACTTATACTTTGATTCTTTATACTGTCATTATGCCTATTCCAATGGTCCACGGCTTATAAGCATTTGTGATTTGATGCCAAAGAAACAGGAAACAAGCTTATGACATTTTTTACAAAATTAAATACCTAAGTTATAAATAATACTTTTACGCACATATACGCAAAACAAAAGGAAATGTGACAAATTAAACCTGTCACTGTCATAAAATATTTTTATTAACAATTAACCGACAGGTTTTTTTAATGATATATGTCGTGTATGTTATAAATATAATTTATAACGATAATGTCGGTTTATCGACAACTGTCGATTATAATTTAAAGTTTACTTACAATTTCTAAATTATAACTTTGTTACAAGTTCAGTTTCAAAGTCGTTCAAATGGTGTAAGCAAAACACGATTTTTTAAAGAGCGCAAATTTTATGCAAAATATGCATCTTATACAAACCCCATACCGTGAAAGCAGCACTTGAATTTCCAACACTCATTGTTTTAGTTGCATTAATATGCTTACCAAAGTACGCTTTTGAAAAGTTACAAACATCAAAACATGACAATTTCAAAAATAGCGTTGACATCAAATCTTAAATATGAAGTTTTTATTTTTAGCTATTTTTATTTATTATCACTTATTATTCGTGTTCTGTCCTTTATTCGAATAAAAAATATTGTTAGATGCGAGGGCGAAAATCCGTTTTTCGGACTCCTGACGGATTGACACCTTCGACTTCGTCACGGGTGTCAAACGCCGTCGTCGAGAATAGAAAAACGACACTTTTCGCCCTTGTATCGAAAACTACTATTTTTTGTTTGGGTTTTTGTAAATAGTTACACAAAATGTTTGAATCGAACTCAATATCGACAAGTTCATGACTTGACTTCAACTTGTAGTTCAACTATTCACACTCTAGACCACATCAAATTAGCTAATTTGATAACCAAAAAATGAAACTGACTTAGTTTCCTTATTACATAGCCTCTGAAAAGCTATAGAAAAATTACAGAATAATTTGTGGACACAGTATAACATTCACTAATCAATCCTCTGTCAATAAAAGTTATTGATGTGGAATTACCATAATTGTTATTATCAAACATCCAAGATGTTCAGCAACTACATTCACGGTTGATGTGTCACGGCGATTTTTGTATCCTTTGTAAATGCTATTTATACTGCGCTTACTCAGCTGCTGGTTTATTTAGTGGGAATACCTACCATTGATAAGAATCTTCCTAACAATATTATTTTAAATTCTATAATTGCCTCCGTAGTACTTGAGAAACGTGACGGTGCTGCTACCACACTTACCATGTGCTTAATACAGGTTTTGAGTATAACTATTTACATTGGCGGTTCTTTAGTGAATGGAGCGGCTCTTAACGGTGTTGCGAACAGCAACGAAATAATTGGGGTACCCGGGAAAGGAAAGTTACTAAATGTTAAATCATATCCGCCCATTGAGAACTACCAAAGTGGACTCTATGAGGTCTATCAAGAACCGTATTATTTGGTAAGCGATGATAGTGATTAGCCGTTTTGGTTTACTATTAATTCGCTAAACCAAAAGGGCATAAATCAACAAGCAGCTGTAGCTGTACTAGTCAGCGAAGAAGACGAAGGTGTGAAAGGAGAAGTCGTTTTTGTCCAAAAACATCCTCCAGTTGGGCCCGTTTTTATTAGAGGAAATATTACTGGTAAGGAGCAATTCGTTTCGTTTGGTTTTAAAATTGAGTGATTTCTTAGAGTATTGATAACAGATCTAAGCAACCACAAATATGACTAAACGTTCGATCGTTTAACGTCGTTGGTCTCATTATTAAAGTAACGTCCAATTCCCGAAAATTAAAGCAAGCAACTAGAACTAACTCAAACTAAAGTCATAATAAAGGCGTTTATAAATCGATTTTGAAATCACGTTTTTCCTCTAATTATTAATATTTTATTTATAATTAGGACCATACTACCACTTTAGAAGATGAACTTACATTGAGATCAATACATTTTTTTCGAATACGTTAATATCCAGGGTCCCATGGCTGATAGCGTCTTTGTCATAAATGGAAAACTGGACGTGGTGCTTGTGATTCGGACAATTTGGTTACTTCTGTAACTGTCGTTCTGTAACGATTTAAATAATTTCTTTAATAATACAGCATATCCAAAACACCGTATATTCACACATCTATGAGACAACTTTTGAATTCTTAATTGATGTCTGCAGGTTTTCGTCTAATTCTTTTCTAGTCCAGATTTTTTTCTATAATTTTTTTCCACGCATACTATATTCTTATTTGTGGATAAGTACGGCGGTATCTGGATCCGCAAACTTGTAATATTGGGCATAGTTTTCCAATATTCTAGGTTTTCAATTTGTTTGAACAAAATTATTCAGCATTATAGAGTATCACTCAAAATTCGTCATTTTGCCGATACATTTCAAAATGCCAAAATATCGATTGGTTTAATCGGTTTGTATATTATCGAGTAACATGTGAGTTTATGATACGGCTAGATCGCTTGCCCTCAATGACTTCGGCACACTGTCCAATTTTAAAATTTCTCCTAATTACAGTTTAGCAGATATCGATCGCAGCGGTTTCCGGTGGGACACCCTGTATATTTTTAGACAACTCGATTGAATTTTTTTCTGATTTAAGGAATATACAGGGTGGCCATTTTCTGAATCGTTGTATGGGTAACTACTACATTTTTAAAGATAGAGAATCCGTTAAATGGGCAAAATTGGGTAGAATTCGATAGCCTATTTCACCGTTTTCAAAATTTAGGTACCCGACTTGGTTCCTAAAATATCATGAAAATAAAAGAAATCAACACTTTTTTAATTATCACATATTACGTAAACTGCTTAACTTAGAAAAAAATTAAAACTGCCCTTAGTACAACTTTTTGCGTTGAATCCAATAAACTAGCACTCGTTATAGTCAACTTCATTTACGAGATAAAAATAAAATTAGGTTTTTTAAATGGCAATCATAGTTCGCTGTGGGCCTTTTAAAATCCTTATTTTTTTCAATTTAACTATGTAATTGTTTGTTTGTTTTAGTTAAAAATTCAAAAATTCAGAAAATGGCCACCCTGTATATATATATCCCAGATTTCTATTAGCCGTTGTAATATGTTTTAGAAATTTTAAATAGACTGAAATAAACAAATTTAAGTAGCTTGAAATGAAACAAGAAACTATACAAAGAGAACATCTTCTTCTTATTCTTCAGCCAATTGTTGCCTACTGCCGGACATACGCCTCTTCCAATCTCTTCCATGCATTTCTGTCTTGAGCGGTTTGCTGCCAATGGGTTCCCGCTGTTCTCTTCATATCATTTAGCCATCTTTTTCGAGGACTATCTATTCTCCGTGTTTCTCTGGGTTTCCATTGAATGAACTTTTTCTTCCATTTGCTGTTGTTTTGTCTGACTACTTGACCAACCCATTGCCATTTAAGGTGTGCGACATGCTTCATGATATGGGCGACTTTGGTTCTTTGTCTAATGTTCTCATTTCGCACTCTATCCCTCAGACTGATCCCAAGCATTCTTCGCTCTATTGCTCGTCGCGTCGTTCTAAGTCTGGTTACGTCTTTCTGTTAATGTGGCGGTTTCTAGGCCGTAAGTTGAGGCTGGCATATGCAAGCTTCGAAAACCTTACGTTTCAGGCTTATGGGCATATTGGAATCTTTAAATATACATTGGAGCTTTACAAAACCCGACCAGGTCAAAGATACTCTTGTTTCAATCTCCACTGTTTGATTTTCCTTTCCAAGCTTTACTGCGTGTCCAAGGTATATGTACTGATCTACGTTTTCTATTATTCCCAACGTTCTTCTATTGGACTCATTATTTTAGTTTTGCTGATATTCAGCTCAAGTCCCACTGTCGATGACATGTGATTTAGATTTTCTACCATTGTTCTAAGATCTTTTATGTCGCAGCTAACAAGCACAATGTCATCAGCAAATCGTAAATGATTCAGATATGAGCCGTCTATTTTAATCCTTTTATTTTTCCACTGTATTTTCTGAAATATGGCCTCTAGGGCCAGTGTAAACAATTTTGGGAAGATTATGTCTCCTTGGCGTACACCTCGATCTACCGGGATTTTGTTCGTCTTAGTAGCCTACTATCTATTTTTTTATCAGCTGCGAGTACCTGGAGGTGCGTACATTGACGAGAGGAAGGCCCATGTTTCTATAGAGTCGAAGGCCTTTCTATAGCCCACAAAGACTGGGTGAAGTCGAATGTTATATTCATTTGATTTTTCAGTGAGTAACTTTAGTACTTGAAGGTGATTCAAGGTCAAGTCAAAGTCAAGCTTTGATGTTAGTCTGTTTGTTACGATTATCATTAATAATGTATTATGATATTCTTATTTTTCCTGGGTCTCAGTCAAAGTGTGAAGTAAAAATTTTGAAACATCGTTTATTTCATTACTTTCGGCGAGCGAAACAGGACGAGGAACAGCGCCATCATCAGATTTAAAATTTACAGAAACTCATGATTGGTAAAAATTAACGTCCTTTTAGGTCTTTGCCTTCTTGAAAACCTTGAGTTTGTCTGAATTATTTTCTACATTTACAGAAAAAAATTCTATTGGTACGTCTGAAAATCTATAGGATGTTGGAAAGTTTTGACATTTCCGTGTTTCATCTTTTTATTTTTAATTCAAATTTAAAAACTTTCGTGTTGGCCATTTCACATTTTTTTTTAATAGACGATCTAGGAACTTAACTTATGAGGAAACACTCTGTACATATCAAGTCATTGCTCAGTCAGATTACCATAGACGTCTTTGTATAGTAATTTAATCTACGTCGAATGGATGAGACAAACTCATTTAAATAATTGGGAACACTTAAATAATTGCAAATTATGAATGCGAAAAGCAGACTAAAGTTGCAAGAAAAAAAACTTAACTCATGTGTCGATCTGTCTGTCCTTTTAAGCATGATGTCTATATTGGTTTCATAACTGTTTCCGCTAAGCCCATTTTTTTTACTTTTTTTTGGATCTCCGAAAATCTTACTTCTTTATTGCCAATTTTGATTTATTAGTTGTCATTGTTTTATGCTATTTTATATCTTTGGAAATCACTATCTAATGAAGCGTTAATCACATTCAACACAAACGCAATTTATTTTATATATAAAATTTTTCTTAAATTACTGATTTATACAAAGTTAGTCCATTTAAAATAGTTTTCCAACGAAATCAACCAAATTAACTCACAAATCCTTAGTTTTCCCATTTAGAAACACTTCAGCTTCTGGCCAGCTTCACGCCAGCTGGGCATTAAATAATGTTTATTTGTATAATTTAAGCGTCCGGGTATGATTATTGTTTTCAATACGTAACTGACACCTAGCTATAAGCGTGTCTTTGACATTTCATTTTATAAAAAATGGACACTGTCGTCATGGCAACTAAGAGTGACACGATTTAAAATAAAATACGGAAAAATTGCCATATGAAAACATTAAATTGACAATATTTCGAAAACTAAACACTATTGGAATAGACAACTTTACACAAACTTACCCTTATTTTTGTCATTGAATTAGACAGAGTTATCAAAAATGCGGGTTTCTATTAAAAAAAATTGATTGTTTTCTGCCGTTTTTCAACACTGTCCAATGTTCAAATATTTCCTAATTACCCGTTCCCGGTGGGACACCCTGTATATTTCATACTTTGTCTGAAACCGGTTATTGAAGTTGAATAATTTTAAAAACACGTACCTACAGCTAGTATTTCTTGCTCTAAGGTGGCATAGTGCACATCTTTTAAATAGCGGTTTAAAAACATTTTAAAAACAATGTTTAAATCATCAGAGTCCACAGTATTAAAATGAAGTTCCTATAGATATTTTTTCTTAGTCTTAGTATAAGTTGAACATACGTTCACATACATGTCATGAAGATACGTTCAACTTAGACTCCCATAACTGGCGCTTATAAAAATAATCTCCACTGATAATATGCGGAAGCGACATGTTTTGCGAATGAACAAATACCAGATCTTCTGTCATTGTTAATCTTTGACTTATCCATTCTTTTCTTAGTTTGGTGTAATGATATTCTATTATCCATTCGTAAAAATAATACATGTTTTAATCAGATTCCTTAGTTAGTCACGTATATAATTTTGATTTGCAAACAAGTAGTAGTTTTTAGATGCACAGTGGTGGCAAACAAAATGATAGGGAACTCTTAATTATAAGTACAGTCTATTTTTAGAAACTTCAGGTTTGCTTGTTGTATGATAGATACATTCTATGTAGGTATTTTCGACATATTTAATTCATCAAACTAGTAATAGTTATCTTTACGCTTAATTGACAAAAACAATTATAAACTGCCCGAGGTGATTTTTTCATTGTTCTCTAGATCTAGAGCATTAGAAACACCAGGTGCGGGTTTTGCAACATTCATTTTATGCATTATCGACATATTTAATTCATTTAACAAGTAATATTATGTATCTGTATTATCTTCAGGTTTAATAATACTCATAGTTGAAGCATATTTGTTAGAAATCAATTCACTCAATTCTTATACGACGTATGTGAGAGTTTGTGACAAAAACATAAAGCTTTCCTGCAGACTTAATCATCTACTGAGGTAATTTTTCTAACTAGATCCCATGCGTGTAAATAACTTCAACCGTCTTCAGGATCAGACCTTTCTTTACAACTAGACGTGTTATTGTAAAGAAATTCCTCACGTAAAAGTACCTACATACAGGGTGTTTTTTTAGTGCGATGAGTCCATTATTTTCGATGGTGTTGAACTTTCGAAAAGCAGTTTCATATAAAAGTTGTTGACGCACAAAGTGCGCACATTTTAAAAATATCTTTATGATACAGTGTCTCAGAAAAGCGAGGCAAGATCAAGTGTATTTTTTTAAATAGAACTACCCATTTTTCATCAGCTCATGGAATGCAGCTTGAAACGCTGCATATGTACCGTAAATTGTTTTTTTCTTACTTGCGACGTTGGCAGATTATCGCCATTTTATTAAAATTTTGGTTAGAAACATGGTATCTAAAAATTTATTGTAGAAGCAAAAAAAAGCAGTTAGAGATACAAAAAAATACGTCTTTCCAATCACCAAAGATCCGTTAAGAATTCTATTGAACCAAAATATCAATACATTGTACAGTGTATTAACAATGTGGACTTCAATCTAAAACTTTTTAACGCAATATAACTTTCGTTTTTCAAATGGAAGTACCTGTATATTAATACGTCATTAGACAATTTACAAAGTAACAAATTTGCATTTACACTTTAAGCTGTGAAATCAACCGTTTTCAAATTATAATTTATTTTATTTATAATATATTTTTATAATAATCATAAGATATTTTAAAAATGTGCGCATTTTGTGCGTCAACAACTTTTATATGAAACTATTTTTCGAAAGTTTAATACCAACCGAAATAATGGACTCTATCGCACTAAAAATGCCACCCTGTATTTTTTTATTATTATGTTATCGTCCAATTCTGTTTTGATTTGTTGACTCAAACTTAAGTGGCATAACTTGACCAGTGTGTGTTAAAAAATACGATAAAAGCTTCATGACAATATGAAATAAAACTTCATACAATTTCAAAATTACCGTTTTTGAAACACGGAATGTTAAAAATGTTATATTTCATTTTAAATTTTTTGATATTGCCTAAACAGTTTTAGAACTTAATGGAACTTTTGCAGACAGATTTCCGATGGTTGGGACGTAATGACTGGTAATTCAAATTTTTTCCCAGGTTTAGTGGAGTGGAAGAATTTATTCCCTAGCTTCTACGCAACTGAGGAAAACGGCGATTTGAAAGCATTGATTTATTTCAGACTTTCTTTTGTTGAGTAGTAAAATTCAAGAAATAAGCTCTTAATAATTATAATTTCTAAATCGTCTTCTTTTTAAAAGAGATCAACTTTTTTTCCGAAACGACTCATACTAGAGCTTTTGACTAACAATAATTTTTGGGTAAAAAACATTGGCCTTTCGAAATAATCTATTTACAAATGCCCTTTTCTCCAGTTGTCTATCTAAAATAGTTTATTAAATATATAAAAACTAAAAAAAATAAACTTAACATCTTTAACACCCTGTATTTTTGAACGTACTACACGCTGATGAAGTGATGACACTGAAGATTGCGTCACAATGTTTAATATAAGCAATTTTAATTTTATATAAAAGAGCATAACGCCCCCAGTCGGCCTTTCTGCGTTTTTGCCCTTGCGCATAAATGTGTATATGTTGAAGTTATAAAAAAGTTTTCCATTTTAGTTCGTTAGTACGATTGTGCTTGTAAGTATTCGAGTAGAGCTGTTGTTGTTTGGAAAAGAAAACGCCAGTCTGGTTGCCTTGCAAAGCAAAGATGGTGCAATATGGTCCGGTTATGGAACTTCTTAATCTTTTTTGTTTGCAGTTTTTCCAGTTATTATTGCCATGTTTTTTGTTGGATTGTGTAGTTTATTTTGAGCTTTGTATTGTGACTAATAGGCGATTTCTCCCAACTCAAATACTCGAAGTCAAAACGCTCAATTCGGCAAATATAGGAAGGGATCATAACCTTTTACTCGGAAGAATTAAATTGAAAATACGAATACCAAAACAACCAAGACCGGTGATATCAACTCAGAAACTCAATATTGAGCTGCTATGGGACCCTATGATAAAGTAGGTATCTATACAAAAATAGACTACAACAAAAAATCGAAGAAACCCCGATTTTAAATACTAACGACATCATTCTAGCTTGGGAAAGAATCAAGAATAAGATCAAGAATTCAGCAAGGGAGGCACTTGAAGAACGAACGATAAAAGTGACCAGAAGTCAAAGAACAGTGCAAATAAAAAAGAAAAGCCTACTTAAAATATTGTACTATGCGAACACGAGAATCATTTAATGAATATAAGCAAGTTAGGAACAAAACTAAAAAATTAATGAAAAAAATAAAAAACGATCACTGAAAAATGTTCTCCAAACTCTGGAAGGTTATTTCTACGGGCTTTAAAAGCAGATATGGCGATTCATAAGATCGCACAGAATGGAGGTCAATAAACTACTAGAACCAACCCACATAAAAAAGGAAGAGTGGATCAGATATTTAACCGATCTGTGTATAAAACGACCCAGACCACCCCAGAAATAACAATTAACGAAGATGCCACGATCTCCATATCCGACATAGAAAATGCACTACAGAAACTAAAAAATAGAAAAAGCGCCGGGCAAGACGGTATACAAAATTAATTGCTCAAATAAGGTGGGCAAAAACCAATAGAAGAATTAACAACTTTAATACAGAAATTATATATCAACACAAAATCCCAGATGAATGATGTACCAGCACTACTGTGCTAATGTTCAAACAAGGGGACAAGAGAATACCATCAAATTATAGAGGAATAAACCTTTTAAGCACTGCTCTAAAAGTAACAACTAAAGTAATTACGAACAAAATCAGCAATCTTATATCATTGGCTGACGAACAACAGAGATTCAGATCGGGAAGATCTTGCACATACTCCGTGTTTGTATTAAGGCAAATAGTCGATAAGTCGATTGAATACAACAAGCCAGTGTTTATTTGTTTTGTGGATCTCACTAGGGCATTTGACCGTGTCCAGCTGGAAGACGTCCTGCATCTCCTTTACAACAGGCAAATCCCACACCATCCCATTAAAACAATAGATAACATAAAATATATAATATACAAACCATAAAATACGAGCACAAATAGAAGGAGACCTCACAGAACCAATACTAGCAGGTAGCAGTATTCGTCAGGGACACTCACTGAGTCCTAAACTCATCAATTTAATAAAAGAAGACATTGTTTGAAGTGTTCGAGGGCTGAAGGGATACAAAATGGGGGATGCAGAAATCAAAATAGTGTGTTATGCTGACGATGCCGCTCTCATTGCAGAAAATGAATATGACTTACAAAGGTTATTACACTTATTCAACCTGACAGCCAAGTCTCTAAATATGGAAATATCACCGACCAAAACAAAGTGCTTCACAAGATCAAAAACTCCTCTAAGATGCAAAATGGAACTTGACGGTAGAGTAATCGAGCAGAAAACGAAATTTAACTAACTTGGCGTGGAACTTTCCGGCTTTGGGGATATTGAAACACAGGTGAGAGATCAAACAACAAAAGCAACTAGAATAGCTGGCTATCTGAATTCCATATGATGGCATAAGAGTATGGGAACGGAGATTAAATCGAGGATCTACAAAACCGCCGTGAGGCCGGTGATGACATATACCGTAGAAACCAGGCCAGAAACAGCAAAAACCAAAAGACTCCTAGAGACAGCTGAGATGAAAATACTCCGTAAATTCACCGGAAAGACACTGCTGGATAGAGAGAGAAGAGAGGATATCAGAACAGCCTGTAATGTCAAGAACATCAATGAATGGGTAGCAAACAGGAAGAAGGAATGGAATGAGCACATAAGCAGGATGGACCCCCGCAGACTTGTGAGATTCGCTCGCGACAAGTTCCCAATGGGACGAAGAGACATTGGGCGCCCCAGGAAACGACTGGGCGACAGCCTCATGCAAGTGAACGATAATTGAACAGAAATTTGCGTAAAATCAAGAATGAAAAAGATTTTGTGCCTTATTCTCGTTAGTAATCTTAAAACAATCTGTTCTGTAGCTTGTAACAAAAGTACAGATTGACCCCAAAAATATATCACCCTGTATATTTTGATTACCGGCACCAGAACGGTATTGAGTCCCGAGGGTAACTTAGAGTTCCGAATTCAAGCTAAATATCTTGAAAACTACAATTTGCTTCAACGACAAAAATTGATAAATTTGCCCTGTGCCTCACAAACATTGCGTTTTTGGACATGTTCGTAAAACAAAGACATAAATAATGCTTATAAATAACTATAATATCAATAATAATAATAAAGGTGTGCGTCACAGGACGCTCAACAGAAGTGATAACTTGAAATTATTTACTGAAACCATAAAAAATTGAACTTGTTTAACGCATTTATTATTTTGTCATTTTAATATTTTTATAATAAATAATTTATAAATGGATCAGAAATAGGTAAAATATAATTTAATTTACTTTTAAATGTAAAATTTATATTATATTTACAACATTCTACAATAGTTGCAGTTGCCTCGCTGTTATTTACGATATCATTATCTAATTTATAATGAGAATCGAATTGTGACACGCAATTTTATCTTACTCGATTGTAGAATTCTCTGGATTATTTGTCATCTTTAATTATAGCTTTGATTCAAAAATGACATTCAATTTTGCGTTCTATCAGAAAATAAATATATATTAAAATCTCCACTTAGAATGAGTGGTAGTTTTGGCCAAGTGGACTGGAACCTAAAGGCCGGTCGTTTTTTGGATGCGTTTTCGTCCGAACTGCGTTCGTCAGAAATCGTGTGAAAAGTAGCGAATGGTCCAATGTCATTGCAATGTACTGGAACTCGTTCACTAGATCCGAAGTCCTTCGTACCAATTCGGACGAACTATTGGGATCTGCGAACTATCCGAAACAAATGGGATTTATTCGCAGATTCGCAGTGTTTCTGACAAAATAGGGAATATTTTTGTGACACACCGAGCTGAAATGGATGTTGAAAAGCTAATAAGTCTTTCTGATTCTTTTTTAAACTTTCATATAATTGATGGAATTCTCCAAATTCATTTCGTTTTACTAATGTGTCAGCAACCCAATAGTGTTATCTTTTTAACTGTAATCGTCTTCTCACTAGATAACTAATTTCTAAAAGAAAAACATCCATTATTAAGTAGTATAATTACCCTGTATAAGTGTGCTTATTTGATACATAACACATGATTCATTCGTATGATAAAAAAATCTTTCAGTGGACGATACTCGATACATATACGAAATTTGACGAAATAATTCGTCCGATATATGACAAACGCATTTCGCACGAAATCACTCGACCGGCCCACAGACTACACACTATTACACAGGGTGTTAATTTGAAAACTTCCCACCCTTAATATCATTTTTGCAGTTGAAAATATGTAAAATCGGAAAGACTAGTCAATTTTATTTGTATGGGACACTTTAAATTAATATTTTCTTTACATTGGTTTTACAAAGTGCGCAAATTTTAAAAATATCTTATATGATACAGAGTGTCTCAGAAAAGCGAGGCAAGATTAAAGTGTATTTTTTTAAATAGAACTACCCATATTTCATTAGCTTATGGAATGCATCTCGAAACGCTGCATATGCACCGTAAATTTTTTTTTTCTTACTTGCGACATTTTCCAGGATTGACCCCTGGAAAGCATGGACTTCATATTCATCAAGCGGGGGATTTGCGAGAGGGGTGTGAAAAATTAGGTGGCCATTTTAACCCGTACTTGGTAAGTTCTGTTCAAATAACTATCTACTTATACAAGTTGCTACTGGTTATACGACACGGAAGCTTGCGGCTAAACTATTTGATTTTTAGAGATTATAATTTTATGAATAAGTGAAGGTCTGCCGGAGGTACATTTAGAAATGTGTTTATTTTGATTTTCAATTATTTTTTTTACATTTAAAATCACTATACAGGGTACCCTAATTAATAATTGAAATTAATTCAAACCCCAACTAGAATTGAAATAAAAAAATTCAAAAAATTCAAAAAAATTTCTTTCATATTTTTATGCTATTAGTGTCTACAATAAAAATAAATGTGAAAAGTTTTGTTAAGGTTTATTCTACTTAAAACTTACAGTTTCTGAAATGTTTGGTATTTCGGAAAATTTATTCAGCTTAAACAAGTATTGCTGGTGCACTTTCAACTGAATTGTGGAAAGTAATGTTAGCCATCCAGGTAGCATTTTTGGTCTAGATGACGTCCAAATGACGACTTTTTTGGTCTTAGTTGGATACGTCCAACTGACGTAAGTAAGTCACAGCTTTATGACGTCTAAATGACGAGTTATAAGGACGTCCAAATGACTAGTCATAAAGACGCCTAAATGACGAATGAAAAATCGTAAATTAGATCTTAAGGTGGAACTTTATATAGGGACAGATGCCCCCATATACAGGGTGGGTTTTTCTTTATCTTGAAACACTTAAATATTTCGGAAACGAGTGATCCCAGGAAAAAAATTTTTAAATAAGAAGTTAATGGGAAGGGGAAATCTATTCGAGTAAGAAAAAGAGCGCCTACTTCGACCTTGTAAGCTAGGCAGGGGCCTACTTGAGAATTTCAAATGGTAACAATATTTTATTGGAAATTCGAACAGTACGTCAAAAAGTGAGAATAATTTATCAATCATTTGTCAAAAAAAATCTAATAATTTTCTTCAATTTTGACAGGTGGCGCACTATAAGCCCATATAAGAAAATTTGTATGAAAAGACAATAGCTCTTAGAAATAAATTACGGAACACAGAACAACAACGAAGTAGGCGCTTTTTGTGACACAAATAACCTTTCCCCTCCCAGATATTAACTTCTTGTTTGAAACATTTTTCTGTTTCCGAAATAATTAAGTGTTTCGAGATAAATAAAACAGCCTATATGCAGATTTCATGCGTCTCGTATATGCAGAATTGTAGGAATGCGGAATGCGGATAGAAAACTTATGTACCAACATATGATTATGTAAATTTACCTAACCTAGAGAAATAAGAAACATAAAAAAAAGTATTTAAAAAAATACATATCACTTGGTTTCAATTCATTCAATAGAATATTACTAAAGTATTTGGAATTTTTAACGGGTGACCAAAATACTTCTTTTTTAAAGGAGTCCGTAATTTTGATTTAACCGTGGTCAAGCCATTCTTGCCGGCCATCCATTTGAATCACACTATAAATTTCTTCATAATAAACAAGGTTGAAAAATCAACGAAACCTAATAGCAAGTGGTTACATTACTTACCAGTTAATTCCATTGAATCACTACTAATATTCAAAGGATAGAACAAAATACCCAGAGAAAATAAAAATACAGAGTTGGCCGCATACATCACACGTATACGTGATCTGTGCTTGCCCGGTCCACTCATGACATCGGAAGCGACTCGACGCTATAACTTACTAACTAAACGGATGGTCAGTTAGTCGTCAGATATGACGTCTTTGTGTCGTCAGATATTCGTCCAATGACGTCCAAGAAATTCTCAATACTCGATAGAGATTGAGAATAGATTCGAAGTCTGCTATTTTGAATGTGGTTCAACCCCCTAAGACCTAAGTCTTAAGGGGTTGAATGGTTTCAAGCGCATCATATACATTTACCTAACAAATAAGGCAATATTTTCTTAAGGCACATGCACGCGTAGAAAAGTGTCACCTCAAACACCCGAATGAGTGCGGTAGAGAACATTGTCCGCACGTTTGCACGAAAAATACATTACAGTTGTAAACAGAATAAAAAACAATTATTGATCACAATTATTTCATTATAAAATTTATTTAAAGTTCCGACCCCCAGTTTCTATGCCTCCTCCTGTTCAGTCTAGCAAAGATACCAGTCATGTAGTGAATGTCCTGTGCCGCAGTTAGAATTTGAGCAATTAACCCTGTCTCCGTGTTGTTCCGTTAACCCAAACTCCGTTCGTCCACCTAGCTGGTGGCCGTCCTCGATTCCGGTACGCTTCCTCTCTTGGCCTCCATTCAACAATCTTCCTTGTCCACCGCCCATCGGACATTCTTCCACGTGGCCGGCCCAGTTCCACTTTAAGTGGTTTATCTTCGTCAGGACGTCGGTCACGCCAGAACGTTGCCTTATTTTGCTGTTGACAATCCAGTCCTTCAATGACACTCCTAACATCGTCCTATCTTCCTTTGTGCCATTTTGATTTTATTTCGAGATTGTTTCGTGAGCGTCAGTGTCTCAGCACCGTGGGTCAGGACCGGGAGAACACAATGGTCAAAAACCTTCCGTTTCAGACATACGTTTATTATGTCGGTAATTAAGACTATGTCGTCTGCAAATCGCAGATGACTCAACCGCTCTCCATCAACATTGACACCCGACGAGTCCCAGTTGGTTGGTCTTCACACGAACTCCAGAAGGGTCGTGAAAAGTTTTGGCGAGATCGTGTCCCCTTGTCCCACTCCTCTTCCTATTTGGAATCTGTTTGTGTCGTCATGTGCTCTGACGATAGCTGTGGCTGTTTCATATATATGTTTTATCAGTGAGATATATCTGTGGTCGATTTAACATTCCGTCAAGGCTCTCAGCATTTTGCCCTGATGGATGGAATCAGATGCCTTCTGGTAGTCCACGAATATTAGGATCAGGGGCTTATTGTACTCTATGGTTTTCTCGATCAATACTTTCATTACTAGATGATCATTTTTTCCAAAAAACTTTCGAAATCCCGCCTGCTCACTGGCTTGGTAAAAGTCGAGTTTAGGCCCTACGCGATTGGTAATTACTCTGGTAAAGAGTTTATAAACATGAGATAGAAGACTGATCGGGCGGTAGTTGTTCAAGTCAGTCCTGTCACCTTTTTTGTGTAGAACGATGATAACAGCATTGTGCCATAGCTCCGGGGTTATACCTCTAAGCAGGCATTCTGTGAATAGTCTGCTAAGAGCCTGTAGGACACCTCTTCCGCATGCCTTAATAGCCTCTATCATTATTCCGTCGTCTCCTGGTGCTCTGCTGCCCTTCATTTGTCGTAGAGCATTATCAATCTCAGATGTTGTTATATCTGGAATGTCTTCGGCGCATTCGTTTGGCACATATGGAATGGTTATGACGCGGTGTCCAGGACGTCTCTAGAGCCCCCCACAGAACTCCTCCAGAATCCGTAGTATTTCCTCTGTATTCGTAGTGGCTCTGCTCTTTGTATCTCTCCTCAACATCGTTATATTCTTGGAGTCTGGGCTGAGATTTTTCCTTAGTACCTTCAGACTCTTATTTGTTTCAATCACTGCCTGTATTTCGCTGGTGTTGTGTTGTCGTAGGTCCTTTTTGATTGCCGAGGAAATAGTTTTGTTGAGTTCTATAATTTGTTCGGATTTATGTTCTGTTCTCCTCTTATTTGTCGGCGTCCTTTCATTCCGTTTTTCGTTTCTATGCTGAGCTTTTCTGGGCCTGTCCTTCTCTTGTTGCAGTGTTATTCTTGGCAACGTTTAGTGCATGGATTAAATTTCCGTTCATTCTATTTATATCGTGTTTGCCTGTTATGTCTCCATCCAGCAGCTCTCTCCTAATCTGTTCCTGGTATGCGTCCCTATCTCTTATCTCGGCCCATTTTGTGTTGGTAGTTTTGGACAATATTTTGCGCCGCTCATTCTTTATGTTTATGCACACCTTGGCTCTTACTAGTTGGTGGTCACCTCCCACTGAAAAGCTGTTGGGGACAGAAACGTCCCTGATGATATCTCTTCTGTCCGTAATTATGTAGTCAATATCGTTTCTGGTGGCACCGTCGGGGCTACAGTCCATCCATGTCCAATCCATACTGTTTGTTTTCTGAAAAATTTATACATAGACACATCAGCATTATTTTATGTGCGTCTCAAATAATCGCAACATTTCTTGGAAAATTAAGAGAACAACTTTGTGGTGTCTTGTTATTCTAACTGGGATAAAAATTAACAAACTGTATTAAATATATTGCGTACTAAATTTTCAGCAGGTAGATTTATAAAAATCAAACATAAATTGGTCAGTTAGAATTCAAAATATAATTTTTTCGTTTAAGATACATCATGGTGGTCCTCGATCATCAGTTCGGCACATTGGAGACCTGGGAAACGTAGATGCTAAAGAGGACGGAGTGGGTGAGATCGTGGCTATAGATCCTCTCATGTCTCTCTCAGGGGGTCCTAGAGGAATAGTTGGACGTGCGCTAGTAGTTTCTGAAAACGAAGATGATCTGGGCCAAGCTGGGAACGCTAACAGCCTTGTGGACGGCAACGCTGGGAAGCCAGTTGCTTGTGGAATTATAGCGTATATAAGATGAAAGGCTATGAAATATAAAGGTGCTAGTCACCTTGAGTTCTTCTATATTCGCAGAATAATTATTCTATTCGACCCTACAGATAGAGTTAATACATATACTACTTCCAAGAACATCACAGGCGTAGGTTATCACATAGGTGAAATATCAATATGTATTAATTAATAACCTATCAACAGTTATTAAATGTTTTCACGACAATTAGGTAATATAGAGAGTATATATTTTTTAGTTTTACTGCTAGGTATGTATGATTCAGTAGACGTAGCACTGTCAAATAATTGGCCATCATAAGAAAAAGATGGATGTTAGAAAGCCTTTTATAGCTCGTCCTCATCAAAAAATTAATTTAAAAACAGGGTTTCTACTTAACAAAATGTCAACGAATACGTTTACCGCCCGTGAAATATATTTCTATTATTACTATAGTTTCCGTCATCCACGTGCACAATGAGATGAAAGCCATCTTCAGTTAAATTATAATCCAACTGCTTTTGCTCCAAATACCGAACGATTATTGGTCAACTTCTCGAATGGTGAACGATTGTGTGCTACTGGTTTTCATTCAATTTTCTTGCTTTATCCTAACTTGTGTGTGTAGCTTAAGTGTATTCGCATTAAAATGTCCCCAGGAAGAAATTTAAGTGAATTTGATGCGGTCAATATTGCCACCTTGTTGGAAGAAGGGTATTCCCAACGGGGGGTCGCCCGAAGGTTAGGTGTTCATCACACTACCATTGGTCGATGACTTCAGAGTTTTAGGGAAACAGGTTGCCATGCTAGACGACCAGGGCAAGGCCGACCAAGATCCACAAATCAAGTGGACGATCGTTTTATAGGATTACGAACGATACGATACTGAGAAAGTATCGATACTTACTCAAATGGGTAGTACCCAAATCATCTTGCGATACTACTCATATGAGTATTCTAAAAGTATCGATACTTACTCAAATCAGTAACTTACTGAGATAGTAACTTAATGAGATACTTACTCAAATGATTACCAAATCGTCTTGCAATACTGCTCATATCAGTATTCTGAAAGTATAGAAACCTTATTATTATTACCTGCTCCCAATTTTATTGACTGACTCGATATTGAGCGACTCTACGTTTAATCCTCATAAACACATGTTAAGTATACATTTTCGATGAGTTTTTCAAGACCGAAATTAACTGTTACCGTGAATTGTAATTGTAAAACAGACGTTTAAATAAGGGATTGTAATAAAACTCATGGAATATAAATTAATGCATTTATTGCCATAAGGTAAACAAAAAAATATTATTTCTGAAGGTTTCCCAAAAAAACAGTTGCTGCATTATTTAGGGGAAAAGCTTTTTCTATTGTGAGTCATAACAGCACCAGCTTTAGGAAATAGACATTCACTTATAAAAGTTAGGACATGCCGTTTGCATGTCTCCCAATGGGTCACTTTTCAAAGATATTATTCAGTTCCATATTGGTTTGACATCGTCAATAAGTTTTAAAAGTGACTGTTCAGAACCATTAATACGTATCTTGCTTATTCAACGCATAATTTCACGAACCTTAGATATAGCTGTTTCCACACTTGGTAATTTTAAAGCCTCTTCAACAATGTGATTTATGTGATTTATTGTGTGAGCCGAACAGGGCAAATATTTCATTGAGCGTACGAATACCTAGATAGAGCATATGCATTTTACTATTTTGATGAAAATGACATGACACACCTAAGAAACCTCGCGCGTTCATTGTTTCTGCCCAAGTGGCTAATCTGACACAAATATTGTCAATCTTTGACAAAATTTAGCTTTAGCTATAGCTACACAAGCTTCATATTTTTCTTGGGTCATCTTTTTTAAATAAGCTGCACTAGGTTGGTACCTTAAAATTAGGTTGAAGCACTTTCAGAAGGCGTAAAAATCCTTCTCCTTCCACAATGTAGGAAGGCAATAATTGCAAACAATAAACGCTAAAGCCTGCACTATTTTGTTGTATTTTGAACCCCCCTCCAAAATAGATATATCTATTATATTCAATAAAGAAAAAGTACTAGAAATAATTTATTTACCTTATTGCCCGAAACTTGTAAAAATGCGTCTTCTAAAGTACTTTGTGGAGGTATGTTACTATCCGTACTAGCATCAAAAACACTTTTTCCTTTCAACATGTTTTCTAATTTAGAACAGCTAGATGTTGATGGCTGTGACATATCCAACGTAAGTTCTTCAATAGACTTCACAAAATATCCTATATCTTCATAAATATATGTTCTGTTGGGCAGTGTTTACACTTTTAATAATTCGATTCGATATGAGTACTTTATTTCGATACCAAGAATTTGTTTCGAAAGAACGACTAAATTACCAAAGTACTCGGTGTCGAAATCAAAATAATGCCTACTTGTAATTACTTGTATCGAATCATCCCTATTTAAGAGGCGGCACTTCACGTAAGGGTGTCATAAAGCATATTGATCTAATTGATCTAGTCGTAATATGGTACTATATAAAAGTAACTCACGTTTAATGATGTTTACCAATTTTCACTATTTTCCGTTCAATTAAGACGATTGACAACAGTCTTGACTGTGACAGTGTTTACAGTTTTGATAATTTGATTATTTGACATCAATTTTTGGGCAGCTAATGCCCGACTGACGTCAGTTAACTGATTTTAAATTACCGATATCTTAACGTCACAATGTCGCAGACACAATGAATGCTGGCGTGTTAATTGACTGGCATCTTAATGACGTCAGTTTCTGGCGTCTTAATGACGTCAGTTGCTCTAGTCTTAATGACGTCATTTGCTGGCGTCTTATGCCCGTATGCACCGACAGACTTTAATCGCGATTAAGCCTTAAACCGGTTTAAAAATCGCAAACGATATGCACCGTCGACTGTTTTGACCTTAAACGTGTTTAACTTTAATCCGCCCACGTCCGAGGACTAACGGCCATTTGCACCAGTCTTCCTTAAAACTTATTCTTAGCTAGGGATGACTTTGGATTAAGGCCCATTTCCATCAAGCGATCTTAAACCAGTTTAACGTCTAAAACTCAGTTTGACGCGCGAAACGGATTTCACCAGAACCTAAAACTTAGTTTGTGCTTAAACGCGTTTGAAGAAACGAACTGGCCGATTTTGGGCGTTTATAGCTTAAACGCCGTTTAAAGACTTGATCTAACCTCACTGTGTAAAGAATTGTTGTTGTTGTCGGTCGACCGAAAAATAATAAAATAGAAATGGCACGTAGGCCAGTTTATAACTTAATTTTCAAAGAAGTCTACGAATATTTTATTGTTACTTATGTACTTTGTCTGTCCTGTCTGTAATTGTGTCGCCAACTTAATAATAAGCCAACTTCTCGGTGCTTTGCGGTTTTATGTCACAGAATGCATGCAAATTTATGCTAGAGATTTTAAGGGTTTCATCACAACTACATCACATCCAATTGTACATGGGGTGAGCTCCACGATAGAGCTGGTGTTCTAGCGTTCTGGGTTTTGTGAGATTTCAGCCAAGATGTTTACCCAGTAAAATCCTTCCTGACTCCTCCGCTTGCCTTGTTTATTCAATGAATTTTATAAGGATCTGAAAGGGCGTCCGCGGGACTTAATTTTCTACTTGTTTAAGTAACTTTTCAAATAGAAAATCTAATAAAAACGTGTATACCAGTCATAAGCCATACACGAATGCACAAACCGTGCATAAA